CATGCCCTGTCATAGATCAGCCCAGAGGTTGTTTCAGGGTTCAATCTGTTAGTTAGCCATGCCCTGTCATAGATCAGCCCAGAGGTTGTTTCAGGATTAATAAATTTTAAATTTTGGGTTTTAAAAAATATTAAAAAATATATATACCATAAGTTGTCTCCGCATATGATTTCAGACAGTCCTTGGCATTCTTGTACCTCCCTTTATATTCACTCTGGAATTTAAGTCCAGAAAAAAAATGTCTTCAATGCCGGTCACCTATGAGGAATTTGAAGCGGAGAGAATGGATACTAGAAACCAGGCCTCGCAACAAGTGAACTATATGAACCACAGCTACGAGAACGGAGCTGATGTTGAGCCTACGGTACAGATAAGGTAAATCTCCTGCCCTTTCACATGCTTTCTTCTTCTTGAAAGTGATATATATTTGAGATGTAATTATACTTGAGTATCATTAATTTAAAGAGTTAGTCCACGGTTTCTAGTTGAGTTGGCTAATTTGCGACTCGAAGTTGACTTGAAGTTATGAAAGGCCCATTGGCCCTCTTCTTCAGTCGTTTGAGTGATACAAGGCTCGTAATTTACCTATTACGCATGAGCTAGTAAAGGGTTGATTCCAAGTTCTTAAGTAAGGCAGTGTAGAGTGACTTAAACGGATTAGTATTCCATTCATCCCGGGCAGGGTAGTGATGCTATAAGCTGGTTCGTGACAACGTTAGCGCATTTTTAGCGTATGTCACCAATTTAGGGGCGGATCCACAACGGAAAAAGTGGTGGTCACCTCTCTTTTCCTTGAATTCCCGGTAAAACCTTTGCAATGGTCACCCCCCTCCCCCCCTCTTCTACAACTCCTGGATCCGCCCCTGCTAATTGCTTATACTCAGCAGTCGAACATGACTTGCATGACCTCACTTGTGTTAACAGGGTATATAACATTGACACAATAACCTTTAAACAATTGTTGCCTCAACTTGAAACAATTTTTTGAATACAATAGAGTGTAGCTTTATTTTCCTTTTGTTGTCATTTAGTGGGAGGCAAGATAGCGATCGCATCAGCCTGTCAGACAACCACATCATTAAAGAGTCTCCTTCCCAGATCAGTTGTGTTAAAAAACTCTACGAATTCCATCGAGCACCTGTCACAAAATTCTGGGCAAATCTGGTATTTCTTCGATAAGAACATTTTACTTGAGCTATTTGTGTGTTTTTAGTTTTTATTTTTTATTTTTTATTGAATAACTTGATTTCTTCTTCTAGATTGTCTATCTCATGTTTTTGATGTTATTTGCTCATCTTGTGCTACTAAAGCTAGAACCCTTTCCCAAACCACTTGAGTGGCTTTTGATAGTCTTCGTGGTAACGTTGTTACTGGAAGAGATACGTCAGGTATGTCTATTGATTAATTTCCATTTAGCCTGCGAAGCACGCGCAAAGGAAGGGAAGGGAAGGGGAGCGTTACGCAGGCTATTTTCACCCCTAAAGCAGCCATGAAACGAGTACGCGCGGAATGTTATGATGACTTTCTGGGTGTGATTCCTAGGTGAGAAGCATTATGAATGCCCCCGGGTCGGCAGTTGCCTATTTAAGCGAGAAAATCCAAGGTTTCGACCTCATTTGCTCAGGTTCGCTGTACCAGTCAGTGCTAGACGGATATTTTCCTTGGTTTTTCCGTACGAACGTCACCGCAGCTTCCCTATACAACATTGCCGTCCAGTACCAACAGTCGTCGAGGTAATTATTTGATTGTTTCACGTCATGTTTACGTGCTTCGCTCGATTCTTGGCATCGTTTTAAGATTTATTTGGCCGTGCATGTGTGTTTGGTCGTAGTTCAGTCTAGCCCCATTTTTGGTTTCGGAGTTCATGTTCACTTTGCCATGGATTCTAGTTTTTCGTTGTATTTGATATTTTCATGTCCGGGGTCCCGACACGTGTGTTTGCATGGTTTAGTTTCCCTAGTAGTTCAGTCAAGCTTTGTGTTTACTGTTTAGCCTGTTTAGCCCAAATTTTTATATTTTCACGTAGTCAACGGTTTAATCGTTTGTTATGGCTGTACCGTAATTATTACGGTTATTAGTTGTTATGTATTTATTAAACCTGCACGTTAGTAGATTCGGCTTAGTTCGATTTTAAGGGTTATGTATAACATGTTATGTATTACATGCTTCGTTGGTCTGGTCGTGTTTCGACCGTGTTTCGCGGTAGTTCGGTCGTGTGGCGACCCTGAGCTCGGTCAAATTTATTGTTCGGTCGTGTGTCGACCATAATGCCAATTGAACCGTGATCGGGTCTGTGTCGACCCAGTTTCGTATTCTGGTCGTGCGACGACCGTTTCCGTTTAACCTATTCAGGAGGGTGATCTACTGCCTTGCTGGACCAGAAGGGCAATCTTAATCAACCCCCCTATAACCTGTCTTCGGACGGTTCCTGGTCCGGCTCGGTTAGTGGGTGCATTTCCCTCGTTCAATTTTCACAAGTATCAATTGTTTACATCTGCGTTTGTTTATGGAGTTATGCGTTCTGACCCTCTACGGCCCCCATGCGAAATGGGATGCGACTGGGAGGGAAAGCCCACTAGCTGGGCCGGACGGATCCCTTCATTAGAACTGGTTTTATGGGAACCGGGGAGTTTTTGAGTTTTGGTAGAATGTATCAATTCAGCCTCGGCAAAACTCGTGCTCCCAAAACTTAACCGCGTGTATGAGGTGAATGGCTGCTTTGGCGGTGAAAATGATATACTATTTCTATTGCATTATGAGGACGGGTTAGGGCTGTAAAAGTCAGATGATGATCCAAAAATAAATATCCTGAAGCGCTTACTGCCATTGTGGCTGTGATTTATTTAATCTCAGGTATCTTATTACTTTACTATCAAACGCACTAAGAGGTACTAACTTACTATCTCATGGTCCTTTTAATATTTTGTGCCTTTGCTGTGATATATTTAGGTTGTTCAATCATTACCTTGTACCCTTTTCAAGAAGATCAAGGAATGGGCTTCCAATAACTGGAATATCTGTGATTTTTTCGGAATCGTCCTGTTTTTTGTTGCTGTTGTCTTACGGTTCAATCCCAAGACTCTTGCAATCGGCCACATTGTTTACAGCCTTGATATTATGCTGTGGATTATACGGCTATTGGATATTTTCTGTGTCAACAAGGATTTGGGCCCATACGTTGTTATGATTGGTCGAATGGTAAGTCTTATGATATAATAGCGTAATCTATCGAAAAAACACACAAACAAAAACAACCGTATGCTGTTTAGAGGGGACTTAACTCTTAATAAAGAATAATTATCGTCTTCGTTGGTTACTTGATTAAACTCTCAAAGAAATGCAGAAATTCTTCTCTTTTGAATTCTCTATTGTACAGGATCTGCCTCCAATATTCATGTGTCCGTTTCAAAGTGTCTGTATTGTTTAAGTTGCGCATTCTTTGCTTTACCATTGGTATTTGTGAATATTTGGACACTGAAAAGAGGCCAACCCTCTATAAACTAGCCTGTAATCAAGGAACACAGCGGTATTTGACTATATTAGATTTATTCAACGTTGAACCTCTATGGTTTTGATGGTGGGGTTATGTACTTTGATAAACGCATGGATATTCTATACAGAGTCAAGCCACTAACCTTCTAACATTGGGAAGTGATATGACTTGCAAAAACCAATTGACCAGTTTCGAATTCCAAATTACCGCTTTGTTTCTTGATTACAGACTCATTTACACAGGGTTAGCCTCGAGTTAATGCAGAATATTCACATGCTCCAGTCAAGGTCCGTCGAGTTTCGAAGTGCTTGTATTATTGAAGTTGTGCATTCTTTACTTTACCGTTGGTATTTGTGAATATTTAAACACTGATACGAGGCTAACTTGCAAATGAGTCTGTAATCAAGAAACAGAGCGGTAATTTGGAATTCGAAACTGGTCTATTAGATCGGCAATTGATGTTTCTTATACGCGGTTAGGAGAATTTTACATTTCCCCCCCTATTCTTTCAGACAGTAGACATGTTGTCATTCCTTCTCATCATGCTTGTGTTCTTGTTGGCGTATGGTATTGCGCAACAAGCAATTCTCTTTCCTAACGAAGACCCTTCATGGGAACTCATCTCCAAGATCCTCTTCCGTCCGTATTTCCAAGTTTATGGTGAACTATTCATTGAAGAAGTAGATTATTCAAGTAAGTAATGGAAATAGGATATATTCCAAAGTCAGTAGGAAATATATGCATGCAAATATATACCATAAACAGTGGCGGATCTAAGAGTGGGTTTTGGGGGTTGCAACTCCCTCCCCCCCCGATGAGAGCCATCGTCATTTATTATAATTTCTTTTTCCATGACAACACCAACAGCATCGCGAGTTTTATTAAAACAGGGGTGCCGAACAGATTTCTCTCGCTTTCTTTTTTCTATAACCCTTGTGTGGGACCTGAAACAACCATGCTCGCCTGCAGTAAATAATCATTATCATAAGACCTACTTCAGTTTGGGAACCCTGTGCTACTTTCCCGCCAAACAAGTACCTCAATCAATGCTACAACCCCCCCTTTGAAAAAGGATCCGCCCCTGATAAAACACGTAAAGTATCGACCTCTGTTAACCAACAAAGGATTGATAATGAGAATGACATGTACATTTGACTTGAGTTTGGAAAACTTTACGCCTATTATTTCCAATATGGCGGCTATTTCGTTCCCTAAAACAGCCCCAAAATGCATTGCAATGCCAACTCGATCCAGTTTTTTTCCTCAACCTCGGAATGGCTTCCGTCTATTCAATGTAATCATGAACTAACTTTTGCATTTTAAATAAATTGTTTGGTGTTGCTCCACACCTCGAGATATCTACATTTAGGAATCATATGGGAAACTGGTGAAGACTTTTGGCTCTATTTTAATTTTTTTGCAGAAAACCCAGAGCAAACACCCTTCAATACGCCAAGTTACGATGCTTATGGAGGTCGCCTTGTTACCTTTATCATGGCTTTCTATCTGCTTGTGGCCAACATACTTCTACTTAACCTGCTGATTGCTATATTCAAGTAAGGATCTTACATTATTGACGTGTTTAAAATAATAAAAACCTAAAAGCTACTGAAGAAGATGCTTGATCAGGGATCGAAACGTCTCATTGTAAAACTTCATTCAAAAAATATAAACACAAATAAATGAATAAATAAACACAACCCCTGACTGCGATTTCAAGGTAAAAACTACGACACAAAAGGCTTTTGGGTAATCATCTAGAGAGATAATTGAAGCATAGAACATGTTTTTTTGAATATTAAAAGTAGTCTTTTGAACTGTGCAATGTGGTTTCAACAATCGTCTTTCTCCAACAGTATATCACTGCTATTGCTGCAAAAGTATATCCATGTCACAATAGCATTCGGTATTAGCTTCTATATTCCATCATTTTCATTTACGAGTCTGCAAGTGATTTGTCATGTACCGTTCCAAGTTCCAGCATACAAGTTCCGGATTCATGGAATGTTTAGGGTCTAGACATCCATTCTGAATTGTAATATACTGAACATAGCCCTTTTTAAACCGCTGATTCTTGTGGTTGAAAATCGTAGTCAATTCTTTGGCCACATTGTACCTTTCAGCAACACGTTCTCAATGGTACAAGCAAATGCGAACCAAATATGGAAGTTCCAGCGGTATCAGCTGGTTATGGAGTATGCGCAAAGACCACTTCTTGTCCCTCCATTCATCGTCCTGGGTCACTTGTATAGACTTCTTAAGACCTGTTGGAGGCGAAGCACTAATGGAAGGAAAAAAGTCGATAGAAAGTTAAGTACGTATTTTTTAAATAATTAATAATGATTATTATTATTATATAGTCACCGTGATGGCTAGGCACTCTCTGATAGGCTTAAAACTTCGCTTATCAGAGTACGGCGCGCAAAAAGCTTATCATTTCGTTATTCAAATTTCGTTTTTTACAGCTGCTGCTTTCTATTCTTTTTTTTTTTTTTTTTTAATTCTTTCATCAATTTGTAACTTCCTGCGTGCTATATTTCTGGTAGAATGAAACGTCAATTAATCTGTTTTCTTTGTAAAGCCGTAAAGCATATTTTTAATCATAATATAAAAACAAACAATAACGTACCACGCTTGATCTGCTGCTGCGCGCTGAAAGCGTACAAGATGCTTTACCGTTCATCCACTATAAAGTACATGCAAGAATACGAGACTTTAACGTCACGGTTACGGTACTCCCGCATAACAGTTTTCTAATGTTTCATTGAGTAAGCTCATTAATATTGGTATTAATTAAAAGCAATAGAATCTTCGGTTAGTGTTTGGATACAACTACAACAACTTATGAAAAAGCTATGCACAGCATGCAAACATTACAATTTTTAAATTATTACAGGAATGTGAGGCAAAAGAGTTATTCTGATTAAGTCGTAAGGTAATTGTTATCTTGGGCAGTCTTAAAACTAAATTGGTTGAAGTCTGCGCATGCTCTGAATCCGTATGCAAATTAGTCAATACATAAGTAAATTTGACTTTCAAACATGAATTGGACTTCAAAAAATGCAAAAAACTTAGTGTCCATGCTTGAAACTCATGGCTGAAGGCTAGTCAATCATTCTACAATAATACATGGATATTTTTTGACAAAAAGACAAAGAGATACATTGATTTGTCATATTTTGTAGTTTCGGTGCTCTTAAAAAAACTCATAAAGTCGAACAAAAAAATATCTACAAAAATCAATTTTTTCATGTGTTACTGATATAAACTTTTTCTGAAATGTTGATATAACCTAGATTTTTAGGGGTTTTTTCGAATGAGCTATTAGAAATAGAGTCCTGTGAAAAWTTTGAGGGTTTTGCCCTGTTGAAGCTCAAAACGCGTATGGTTCTTCAATAAAATCTTGTAGATTTTTCAGCGGTTTTTAAGCGCGCGCACATCGTGGGCTTAAATCGAACGTTCAAAAGTAGGCAGTCATCTAAAGGTTATTTCACTTCAGAACACTTGTCGTAAGATACACTGCAAAATGTAACACTTTCTTGAATTTAAGTCATCTCATTTGCATATTGATATTTCAAATATTTATATAATATTTATATAATATAATCTACACAAGACAGAAAAGTTCTAAAAGGACTACTACATCAGAACTTTGGCTCTGTGTAGACTATATAGTCCCTGCTGATCAACTTATAGTTGGAAATCGCGGAATGACACTGATACTGATACTGATATCTCTGAAAAGAGAGGTCCACATACAAAAATACTGCAACCATGCTACTACACTGTTCACATATAAGTGATTTTGAAAATATTTTTTCCCCTTGAAATACACTTTAAAATAAATGCGTGCGTACAAGGGTATCTTAAATCGTTTTAAAAGAGTGTCCTGAAGAGCGGCGGGGGTCTTTATCCCTTTTCTCAGCCCAATTTGATCAAATTTCATAGTCACAGCCTATGTTTTTCTCTAACCTCAATTCCATTTCCTTTTAGTTGATTGCTGTTTTGTTTGTGAATCCCATTCCCATTGCACAAAATCCTATTTTCCCTAAACTCCCATTTTACCCCTTCTGGAACCTCTTAAAATTGTTTTCTTTTGTCTGCTTTCTTAATGGTTTGCCACATTTTCATTTCAATCGTTCTAAGGGCGTAATTAAAGATGTATCTAGATGCTCCATTACCTAATCGTCAATTAAGGTTGCTTCAAGTAGTAGTTGTTCATCACGTTTGTGTTTCAAAGTAGTAATACGTCGTTAAAATGACTAACCGGTAATTCATTTCTCCTCAAAGGGAGATCGTTTTTGAGTTGCGCTGGTGTTTCTAATGAAACAGTAATGATAAAAGGTTAAAATTTACACCGTGAAAAGATGAAAAAACTTACTTATATTTTGTTACTTATTGTATTGTATTGTATATTTGACAAGGATGAATTGACTGACTGGCGACCTGATTAATGACTGTTTATCGACGAAACGAATACATGAGAAAAAAAGAGAATGAAAAAATTGATTGAGAGAAAGCATGGTTACGTGAGATGGTCTACGATAAACACGAAATAACTAACATCTCCTCTTTTATCTCCATTGGCCCAAATCCAGGATTACATTCCATAAAAATGAATTAAAAACAGTGTAGTTTAACGTGTGTTATCTTTCCATGCCTTTTCAAAGACTGATCCTTCCCCTATCGAGATTGCCTTTACGACTTATATATCAGATAAAGAAACTTCAATATAGTATTTAATTATATGATTCTATTATATTGCTCGTTGCTTGATATCCCTCAGTTATCTGTACTTCATCATTGGACATCACTTTTAAGCTATCAATTTCACAACGTAATTTCGGAATAATTTGAATTTACGCAGTAGTATAGTAAGATGTTTTCTCGTTGTATTTTGCACGTCAAAAGCCTGATATAGCTCAGTTGCCTGTATTTCGCTGTGTGCGTGTTTTCATCTTTATCGCTTAAGGACGTCAATAAAAGATTATACGAAACTTACTATACGTAAATTATTAATAGTTATCGGCTTTTCTATGTGTATTTCTTTGTGCATTACACGTGAGCAATAGCTCAGTTATCTGCACTTCACTGTACGTGTTTTCAATCCATTGCTAAGAACATCACTGAGTCTTTACGTAGACCGCTAACGTACTACGTAAACCATCAATGTTTTTTGTGTATATGTTCAACGTAAACTACGTGAGCAATAGCTCAGTTATCTGCACTTCACTTTATATCTACAATAAGGGCCACCTGAAAAGGATCTATTTAGATTACGGCTGTGACCCTAAATGTGAATAAAATTATTATATACTTCTAGATGCCCAGACTCCTAAGGTAGTTGGGCGGAAACAGTAGCCAACTACCAAACAAACTGAAATTGTTATTATTAAATTATTATCATTATTATTATTATTATTATTATTATTATCATCATCATATTATTATTATCATAAATTATTATAATAAAATTATTATTATTATTATTATATTATTATTATTATCATATTATTATTATTATGAA